CCACCAAGCCACATCCCCAGCCTTTTTTTTTTTTTTTTGAGACAGGCTCTTGTTAAGTTTCTTAGGGCCCCATTAAATTGTTGAGGCTGGCTTTGAATTTGTGATCCTCCTGCCTCAGCCTCCTGAGCCACTGGAATTACAAGCATATGCCACCAGGCCCAGCTGTGTCATAATTTTTGCTTAGATACTTGTAGTCAGAGTAAGGCATTAACAATCTAGCTGGGAGCCCTGTGTGTACACATGAGGACTCTCAAGTGGTGATCATTAGCTTAGAAGCCATGGGGAATCCAAGATCTATTAGTCATGTCTCATGGGCTGGTTAATTTCCCAGAGGAATCTGCCAGTCTTCTGTCTAGGAGCCATGACTCTGTCTGCCAGAGTTCTTGAAGCCAAGTGGCAGAGAGGTTTTGGCTGAATAAAGTTGTCTCAACACTGAGTTGTAGATTTTCACTTAATTGTCATTTACAGTTCAATACCCCCACCTTCCACTGTGCTTTATGTCCCTATGACAAATCTGTTTCCACACTTTCATGGAGTAAACCACAGACTTTTCAAGTTGGAGGAGAAATGTTGGTTGAGTATCCCTTATCCAAAATGCTTAGAACTAGAAGTATTTCAGATTTTTTTCCCAAAGGTTGGAATATTTGCTTATATATAATGAGATATCTTGGGGGTGAGATCCAAATCTAAACAGGAATGGATTATGTTTCACATGCACCTTATATACATAGCCTGAAGGTGATTTTATACAACATGTTTAATGTGCCTGTTTTGACTGAGACCTGGCCCATGAGTCAAGTGTGAATTTTCCACTTGGAGTATCTCGTCGGCATTCACAAGGTTTTGAATGTTGGACCATTTTGGGATTCATACCTTTGGACTAGGGCCACTCAACCTGTAGTTGCGTGATGATGTGTGTCACTCCATCACAGGATGAAGAAAAAGGTGTTAGAGTCTAAATCTTTATCTTATACAGATGTTCAGTCAGTCATCCTGGTTTTAGCCACATAGACATCCCCATCATCAGAGATGCTCTGTGTCCCTGACTCCTGGGCTTTTTGAGGTTTTTAACTTGCACTGGGTTACTTGGGTTTTCTTCCCATTGAAAGTTTGGATTTTAGCTTTTCTTTCTCTGCTAAATGAGTTCCTACTCATTCATCTGCTTTCTGATTTCCAAAATTATGTTGGCATCTCATATCCTCTTTTGCCTACTTTTCTTTTTACTCTGCATGAAGTTTTGTTTTATACAATTTTCGATCCCCCCCCCCAACCTTTGGTCATTTTTGTGGAATATGAGTAGGTAAGGCAGAAAAGAAATGGAGATAAGCATGTAGTCAACTTGCCACGTTTAGCTGCAATGTATGAATGGACCCTTTTCTCTAAGGAATGCCCCATTTCTATATGCAGCAAAATAAAACTGAGTTACTTGGCAAGTTCCTCATCTGGGAATGTTTCCTCTTGGGTTGCCATATTGGTGTGGGTCTGCATGAGAATTCCTTAAAGAATATGCAGTGTGATCTAGAGCTATCCCAGGATCAGGAGTCAGATGTTCTGGTTCAGCAGCAAGGAGTCTAAAATTCACATATGATCAAAGCCAAACAATTTGCTGGGTCTGGCACTGAGATCTGTGCACAAATTCCAGAGCAGTCTAAGTAACTAGAACAACCCCAGTTGCGAGTCTCTGTATGAATCAAAGAAATCGCCCCACGCTCCTTCTTTTGTCCAGGGCACCCTGCAAACACAGGGTGGGACCACCATTGGGTGATGGATGTTCTTAGGTAAATTAGATTAGATAGACAGCTCAGCTCTGCCACATTAGTCTCTATGTAAGGAGCACTAGATTACAGCAGCATAGTACAAATGTTTCATTTTCCCTCATAATAAGAAGCCCGAGACAGGCAGAGAAGAGGAAATGCAGCTGATCCGC